ACCCAAAAGGCTTAAATTCAGGACTACAGTAAATCTTCACGCACGCTTGGAACATTAAAGAGATAGTAGCAGATGATGCCGTAAATTATAGAAACATAGTAATTTTTGGTATTTGTGTACTTTTTTGTTTGTTTTTAGTTTATTTTTTATTTTAGGTATGTTCTTTTTCTCCTTTTCATATCTAAATATTTTCGAAAGCCAGTATGTTCAGTATTCATCTCTATGAACAATGCAAGGGAGAATATTTAAGAATACAATATAAAATAGGTCCATAGAGAAAAAAAACTTGATATATGTTTGGAATTAGTAACTACCAGTATACTATATATTTCACAGTTTTATTCTTTCCACTAAACTTTTATAGTACCGCTGCTTTAAGACACATTGACAAGTGGTAGGTGGAGCCACAGCTTTAAAGTGTTGTGTAGGGAAGAAGCCCATTGGTCCTAATGAAGTTGAGATGGATACGTCCATTGGCGAAACGTGGTGACGTCAGGATGTCAGAGATGTCACATGTGGCCACCTTACAACTGCGGGAGACCAGCTGGCTGACTTTGGAGCAGGGATGTTACTCATGTAAGAGAATCTGACATACAACTCTATAGAGGCAAGGCAAGCTGAAGCTCACTCTGTGGAAATGTTTCACACATAATAAGCGCTTACCCCTTCTGATGATGTACGTGTGATACGAAACGTGTGTCAAAGAGGAGCTCCTGCTAGCCGTGACGTCAAGCCGCCGGATCAAGGAGGTCCGGTGGCCACCCATTACTACCAGCTGGTCAGTGTTATGCTGCATTCCATTATTACTGCATCCTTTGTGCACAAGGATTGTTTTTTACTACAGTACCTAAGAAGTGTGTGTGTTTTCTGTTTTAATCCTCAATAAACTCAATTCCATTTTGTTTAAAATACTACACTATGGGTACTTTTTTCTGCTCCATACGGAGCATTTGACTTCCCAAGATCACCAGGTGACCATTCCAGGGCCCAGAGGAGAGCTGTACCCAGCTAATCCCGCCTGTAGCCAGGTCTGTAAAGGGGACCCCTAGGAGTTTTTACCACCCACTGAGGAGTCATCCATTCCAGGATACATTCCATCCATGACTGAGGGGACCTCTGGTGTATATGACACAAATGCGCATTTATATTGCGCCTCTGGTGAGTGTGCAATTTACTCATTATTCTTGCACGGCACCGGATCATAGCTGTCACTGGGATTTAATCAAGTCACCTCTTTGTTAGTTTATCCGTGGTTTCATCACCATCAGATATAATTTTTTGGACTATCATTTGCACTGTGTATCACACAACTAGTGAATGTGTTTGATATAACTCAACCACTGCACTGTTGTTAAGGACATTATTTATTTATACACTGTGTTGTCAATAACACTGTTAATTTCAGGCATTTCTGTACCAACGATGTCTAGGTATTGGTGATGGATGTGTGTACAATTTTTCATTATATATGGTAACTTATTTATCATTTTAAATGATTTAATAAAATGTAGTCATTTATTATATATATATATATATATATATATATATATATATATATATATATATATATATATATATATTTTCTAGTATATGCTGAATTAGTCTCTTGAGGTAACCGCTTTTTCTGGTGGGGGCTCTTTTGCCTTTTTATTTTGTTGCAATTAGTCTTTTTGGTTTTGTTTTTTTAGAGTTTTTGAATTTTTAGGATCTCTTCAAAATGTCCTTTTGTCTGTGGGCAGTTATCAATCATTGGTCCAAAATCCAGAATATAGGCGCTCGGGGGTACTCTTAAAAATTTCAAAGTCACAGTATTAATTGTGTAACTGATAAAGTTATATTGCAGTGACTCCTTTAAAACCACATAATGCATTTATTGTGAACTTGTGTGGTCTCCTTGTACAGTGCCATATGTGAAAAAGCACTTCAGTCTCTAAAAACACAATATGACAATTTAAAGTTCTGTCTATATAACATCCAAAATGGACTGCTTAATTTCCCAGAGGTGGTAATGGCGTGCCAGTGATACGGTGACCGGCACCTAGAGATGGTAATGGCGTGCCGGTGGTGCTGTGACTGGGAGTGGCAGCTCATGTGGTGAGGCACCCACATCAGAAGCCGCTGGGGCACGGGAGCACGGACCAGCACTCCGCTTGTCACTGGCAGTGACACGCCAGATGTGATGTAATCAGATCCGGAGAAACTGCTGACCGGAAACCACACAGCGCTGGAGCGCAAGCTTGGCCACCTACGGATGAGGATTAGGCTGTTGTCATGACGTGTTTCGGGACAATTCATTCACATGGACTTCCTGCTATTGCTGTTGTGGACTAGCGTCCAGCAGGAAGAGAATGATCCAAATCCTGGAAGTTTTCCATTCCTGTCATTCCAATGAAGCTTGTAAATTTGGGCTTGTGTGGATGGCATCAACCCTCACCTTGTAAAACAACCCATTCAGTTTAAAGGAAAGGAAAAATGTTTGTGTATCGATGGAAAAAACATTATAAACAACTTTTTTCCCTCCCCTTTTTTTTTTTAATAATATAAATGATCGCTTATCTTCTGTTTCCAGCTGCATAAGGAGCAGGGGAGGAAACACAGCAGTACTCTGATCTTCCCAGTGATTGGCTGTGTTTGGGGGGGGGGGGGGGGGGCCCTGTCAGGACAAGTCTGATCATTGGAGGAGAGCACACAGAGTTCCCAGCACAGCTAAACAACTGACCACAGTGTGCTCTCCTGCTTAGTGTGGTCAGTTTGTAATAGGAAAGCAGAGGGATTGGCAGTAACACCAGGGATTTCAAACAGAGGAAGCAATACAAAGAGAACAGAATCATTTTTCATACAAGTACATGGGACAGCAGGCACATATCAAGAATATGAAATTCTGGGTTTACATACTTTTTAAGATGCTTCTGAGAAAATTCATTAACAAGTGCACCTGGCCTGCAGTTGACCTCCTTCATTCTCAAAAACTTGTATGGGAATGCAAAACTTGTCTGAAGCGAACAAAAGCCCACCGACACAGATCTCAAAGCAGATTGTCTGAAGAAAGAATAAGAATTGTCTGAGGAGAGACTAAGCTAGAAGTATAGTGCTGCCCATCATGTCTGTTAAAACAGTATTAAACCCAAAAGCAGATATTTATTATAAAGCAGCTTACCAATTCTTAGATGTGATGGCTGCATTAGTTTTCTTTTTCAGGCTTTATTTCTTCTATTTTCATCTTGTGATCTTGCCAGTATTTTTTTTAAAGAACAGGCTGTCCTGTAGATGGATCAGTTACAGAGCTGAGACAAACCATTCAGCATTGGCATGAGTGCTTGCAATGATTTAGCGTTTATTAATGTAAACCTTTTATTTAAGGAAAGAAAAACTGTTTGCTGTAACTGATTATAAAGAGTTAGCTGGAGTTTAGCTTCACTTTGTTAGTGGGGGCACTTTAATACAGGACGTGTGTTGCTAGACAGATCACCAGGTGAAAACAAAGGGAAAAAGAAAACTAATGTAGCCGCCACAGCTAATGATTGATAAGCTGCAATATAGTACATTGTTGGTTTTGTATTTAATACTGCTTTAAATATCTCTAATTCTGTAAGGAATGAGCGTTTTGAAAGTTTTTAGCAGCTCTTCATTATGCATACAGTTTAATATCTTGGCTGTATAGTGATGGTGTTGGAAAACCATTCTTTCATTCGAGCGAGGGTCCCCCTCTAAGGCATTTCACAGCCAGTAGCTACACCCTCTAATTCAGTAAATGGAATGACCGCATCTTCCTGATGTCGCAGTCTTCTGCAGAATCCTCCAATGGGAGAGGCATAACAGGAAAGAGATTATGGCAGCACAGATTAAACTATTTTGCTTCAATAGCTGAGCTTGTTCCTGGAAAGAGCTGGATAGGGCGCGGCATGATTTTAACACTCAGGTCATGTATTTTAATATTTTGCTCAAAGAAGTCTTATTTCCTGTATTTATATTCCAGCATCCAAATAATATTGCATTTTACAGTACACCTAGAAACTGACAAACTTTCCCTGCCATTAAAGGCTTTAGTAACATGTTACATGTTAAACCCATATGAAGGGTGTAACATGTCACTAAAGCAGCAGCCCCGCGCCCCCCCCCCCCAATCCCCAACTGTGACAGCGGGTGCCGAATCCTCTCCTTGCATCTGCTGTCAGAATTTTAAAAACATAGCGGCTGTGCAGGGCAACGCCCACATAACCGCATTATTCATTCACAGAATTCTGGGAAAGGGTGAACTACGAGTCCTGTCTGCCACCACGGCACACAGCTTGTAGTTCTCAGTGAACTGCAAGGGAGCTGGTGCGTGCCCTTGTAGTTCATTCATTTTTCCAGCTCTTCAGTAACTGTCTGTCCGTACAGGAGGTATGCGCAGACAGCTGTACTGAGCATCTGCAAGAGCCTGACATTGCACCCGGGTGCAATGATCTGCAGGCTCATAAGAAAATTATATATGCACATTTTTTTACCCGCAAAAATAAGTGCGTTTTTTATTATTTTTTTAAGTGAACTTATCCTTTTAAATAGTTCAATCTCCATATTAGTTATACAAGTAAATACTTAAGTTCAATATGGATTATTGAGATAGTAAATACTGTATATTTAAAAGCAATGGGTCTGTAGCAGGATAGACATTGTTTTACTGCGCATACAGTTGGTTATAACTCTCCATTGCTTTGGTAAACAGATGTCTCATTGCTTCCTTTACATTACTTCCTCATTCAGCATTGGACGTCCTTGGAGAATTCAGCAGCGCCTGTTCTCTTGTGCTGCACAATAATGAAACTTTGTGATAGGATGATAGTTGTAGGAGGGAAAGAAATCCAGCAGAGGGAGCCATTGTATTTCTAGAAATATAGGAGGCTGTTAGGTGTTTTTATATGCCCATACTATCTGTGTAGGTGTGTTCCACTTCATTGAGGCACAGCATCATTATGTGACATTTTTCCTATTAAAATGTTTCCTTATAATTTCTGTTATAGGGTGGCACAGGCATATGTCAATCAAAGAAAGCTGGACCATGAAGTGAAGACCCTGCAGATACAGGCTGCACAGTTTGCAAAGCAGACAACACAGTGGATTGGTCTGGTGGAAAACTTCAATCAGGCTCTGAAGGTGAGAAATGATGAAACCTTTAGATCAACCTTATAGTGTACACGACTTGAAGGAAAACTGTAATGGTTCTGGATCAGTTTTATTGTCATCTTTAAACTAATGTATATTTTGTATACATTCTTGATTATAAAAATAATCACTTTATACAGGATTCAGCCAGGACCAGACATTTACAGAATGTTCTGATTTTCCAAAGTGGGAGCACACCAGAAACTGTTTCCTTTGTGATTGTCTCTCTAAATGAAAGTCCACTTGGGCCAATGAGAGGGCGTCTGTGTTTATTTTGAATTTCATCTAGTTGGCTCTGTTTAAAAAAAAAAAAAAAAAAAAAAAAAAGGCTTTTTTTTTTTTTTTTTTTGCAAAGCAGTTACGTTTAGATAAACATCCAAAAAAAGAAAAAAAAAAGAGTCTAGAACTACACTGCCTGACAGGCAATGTTTAGTATGAAATGTATATATGGAATATTTACATTTTTTTTTTTACTTCAAATATTTTCCTGTACTTGCATAAGACGGGTTTGGCCCTGAAAAAAGAACTAATGCAGCCACCACATCAAAGGTCTAATAAGCTGCAATATACACAAATTTTATTCTTGGGTTTAAGATATACTTTAACTATCATTTTCCCATGTTCCTGTCTCCCAGTGGAGATACCTGTTCAGATGACAGATGCCAAAAGTTGAATTTCCCTCACCATAGGATAGAGTGGAGTGAAGTCTGGCCAATAGCCACATAGAATACCATAAATAACTGACATTGTAACTGTTCCCCAATCTCTCGTGGAAAATAATTTTTGTGTGGGTTACAGCATATCTTTTTTTATAGATGTCAACAGACACATTAAAATAAGATGACATGAGATTTCAACCAAGAGTTTTGCAGACCACACTTCAGAATTTGTCTTGCTGACTCCAGTGTTGGTATACACTGTTTAGATGAACTTTTCCTAGAACTAGAGTTTTTTTTCAGTAGCTGTTTATTAAATGTGATAACACACCAATGTGTGCCAGTGGCGCATGCAGTAGAGTGTTAGGACACAAGTGCAACATCTGAATAAAGGCTTTGGATGATTCTTGTATTAAAATGATACTTTAAAAAACTAACAGAACTAAATGTTTCAACATTATTGCACCCTCTTCATCAGGACTGGCTATGAGCAGATGCACACTGGAAGAACTAATATCCACTAGATGTCAATTAAAGTGGCATTAGGTTGCCTACAGTAGACAGCAGGAAACTATTAGTACCCTGAACAAATTTTGGAGACCTCAAAACCCCCCCCCCAACTCATGGTGCTGTTACCCTACCAGTTCACTGCTTCTTAACACTACATTCCTACATCATTACAGAGCTTGCTCCCCACAAATATTTTATATAATTTTAGAGGCGATTGTTTTGTAACACTTCAGCTCCCACAGCTCTAGTGCTTGCAGACGGAGGTTCAATCAACATCAGCCCTATTTCTTTACTGTAGTGGTATTGCTCATCTCATCAAAAGGTGGTGTCAGAGCCCTGGAGCTGGTCAGGGGCACGGGTCATCTTCCAGGTATATACACAAATAACTGCAATTTCCATTTTCTTTGAAATCTGATTTTAAAAGTAATTTTACATGGTGAGGTGTTTTGTGTTAGACTTTAGAATGTACAGTAGATATGAGGACACATCTGACACCGCTCTTAATTTATACAACCTTAATAGCTTAATATATCAAATAAGTATATATAATTATAAATATAATATATATAGCTTAATAGCTGAGACAAGTATGGATACAGTGCACTCATTAGGTTTTTGTAGGAGTATGAGATATATATATATATATATATATATATATATATATATATATATATATTAATATATATATATTATTGTTATACCTTGCCTTGTAAGGTGTACATGGTAAAATGAAAATGCCATACACCTTCCAAACTATAGTCAACTTTCTGTTTGGATTAAAATGTATCTAAAGCCAAAACTTTCTTAGGTTTGGATGGCAGATGGAATGTTTGCAAAACCGTCTTCATTGTGCCATTGTGATGATTTACTGGAAACAACTTGGACTGAGAGTAGATCTTTCCAAAGTGAGGGGAAATCTCACTTCTGCCCCTGTGACAGTGCTCACCAAGACTTAGGGCTCGTTCACACTTGACTTTATTTCTAACTCTTGCCAAATGCCTGTATAGCCTTAGGTAGGCATTTGGAAAGCATTTTTAACGCTCCTCAAATGTTCCCCAAACGCCCTATGCATGGTTTTGAGAAGGTTGATGGGCATTTGTCAAGCGTTAAAACCGCACCACAAATGCCTATAATGAAGTTAAATGGTATTAACGCTCCGCAACCGTGTCGCAAACACCTGCCAGGCATTTGAGGAGCGGCACTGTAGACTTGAGTGGGAGGCTTCAACTCCTCCGGACTCGACAAGAGGCGTCAGTTTTGCTGCGACACTAACACTTCAGTGTGAACAGCACTGTGTGCTGTCCTGGAGAATTTTCATAGGCGTTTGGGAAGCGTTTTTAACGCTTCCCAGATGCCTGCTGAGCTAGTGTTAACTGAGCCAAAGAGAGGGTGCATCTCCTCAAAAGGGGCACAGACAAACCAAAAAAAAATGGCCAACATAATGATCATCAAATAAAGTTTTGCTTTAAAGCAATTCTAAAGGTTCATTTTATTTATTTATTTTTTTAAATAACAAACATGTCTATACTTACCAACTGTGTGCAGTGGTTTTGCATAGAACATCCTGGATCTCTTTTGGTCCCCTGCAGGCTCTCCTGGCCCCTCAATCCTGTTGGGTGCTCCTACAGCAAGTAGCTTACTATGCGGGCACCTGCTGCTCTGTGTGTCCATTCACACACGAAACTGTGACTTGGCCCCGCCCCTCTCTCTCCTCATTAGCTGACTGGCTGTGATTGACAGCAGCGGGAGCCAATGGCTCCCACCTGCTGTCTCAGTTAATGAGGAGGCAGAGACCCGGGACAGCTGAGGCTGTCATTCACATCGCTGGATCACGATGAGGCTCAGGTAAGTATTGAGGGGGCTGGGTAGCTGCTGCACACAGAAGGTTTCTTACCTTCATGCATAGAAAGAAACCTTCAGCCTTTACAAGCACTTCAATTGCCTGTCATACAAACAAAAAAAATTACATTTCAGAGACATTAAGGTTTTCTTTTCTCAAGGTGACATACACTATATTGCCAAAAGTATTGGGACGCATGCCTTTACACGCATCCCAGTCTTAGTCCAGAGGGTTCAATATTGAGTTGGCCCACCCTTTGCAGCTATAACCGCTTCAACTCTTCTGGGAAGGCTGTCCACAAGGTTTAGGAGTGTGTCTATGGGAATATTTGACCATTCTTCTAGAAGCGCAATTGTGAGGTCAGGCACTGATGTTGGACGAAAAGGCCTGGCTGGCAGTCTCTGTTCTAATTCATCTCAAAGGTTGAGGTTGGTCAAGTTCCTCCACCCCAAACTCACTCATCCTGTGTCTTTTGTGGACCTTGCTTTGTGCACTGATGCACAGTCATGTTGAACAGGAAGTGGCCATTTCCAAACTGTTCCCACAAAGTTGGGAGCATGAAATTGTCCAAAATGTCTTGGTATGTTGACGCCTTAAGTGTTCCCTTCACTGGAACTAAGGGGCCAAGGCCAACCCCTGATAAACAACCCCACACCATAATCATCCCTCCACCAAACTTTACACTTGGCACAATGCAGTCAGGAAAGTACCGTTCTGGCAACCACCAAACCCAGACACATCCATCGGATTGCCAGACAGAGAAGCGTGATTAGTCACTCCAGAGAACACGTCTCCACTGCTCTAAAGTGATGGCGTGCTTTACACCACTGCATCCGACGCTTTGCATTGCACTTGGTGATGTAAGGCTTGGATGCAGCTGCTCAGCCATGGGAACCCATTCCATGAAGCTCTCTACACACTGTTGTTGTGTTAATCTAAAGGCCACATAAAGTTTGGAGGTCTTTAGCTATTGACTCTGCAGACAGTTGGCGACTTCTGCGGACTGTGCGCTTCAGCAGGTGCTGACCCCGCTCTGTCATTTTACATGGCCTACCACTTCATGGCTGAGTTGCTGCTGTTCCCTGTTGCTTCCACTTTGTTATAATACCACTAACAGTTGACCGTGGAATATTTAGTAGCAAGGAAATTTCACGGATGGACTATCACGGTACCACGCTTGAATTCACTGAGCTCCTGAGAGCGACCCATTCTTTCACAAATGTTTGTAGAAGCAGTCTGCATGCCTAGGTGTTTGATTTTATACACCTGTGACCATGGAGGTGATTGGAACACCTGAATCCAATGATTTGGAGGGGTGCCTCAATACTTTTGGCAATATAGTATATGTGGACAGTAAACCGTTAATTAAGAACAGGAAATACACCTTCTAAATTGCCATTGAAGCCCAACTCCAGGATGGGAAAAAAAGGAAGTGGCTATATAGTGTAACTTGCCATATTCCATGCTGTGCTATGTGTGGCCCCTTTTCACCCACCACTACAATGCAGGGCTGTTAATTTTGTATTATACAGTGCATCCAGAAAGTATTCACAGTGCTTAACCTTTGCCACATTTTGTTATGTTACAGCCTTATTCCAAAATGGATTAAATTCATTTTTTCCCTCAGCATTCTACAAACAATACCCCATAATGACAACGTGAAAGAAGTTCGTTTTGAAATCTTTGAAATTTATTAAAAATAAAAAATGAAAAAACCACATGTACATAAGTATTCACAGCCTTTGATCAATACTTTGCTGAAACACCTTCAGCACTAATTACAGCCTCAAGTCATTTTGAGTATGATGCTACAAGCTTGGCACACACCTATTTTTGGGCAGTTTCTCCCATTCTTCTTTGCAGTAACTTTCAAGCTCCATCAGGTTGGATGGGGGGCGTCAGATCACTCCAGAGATGTTCAATTAGTTTCAAATCTGGGCTCTGGCTGTGCCACTCCAGGACATTCACAGAGTTGGCACAATTACAATACATTTCAGTACAGAAGGAATATGAGGGCCCTGGTAGTGGAGCTTACAATTCTCATGGTCTGAGAGTCCCTCAGGTGCCTTTTGGCAAACTCCAGGCAGGCTGTCATTTTCCTTTTACTGAGGAGTGGCTTCTGTCTGGCCACTCTACTATACAGGCCTGATTGGTGGAGTGCTGCATAGATGGCTGTTCTTCTGAAAAGTTCTCCTCTCTCCACATAGAAATGCTGGAGCTCTTTCAGAGTGACCGGGTGCTTGGTTACCTCCCTGGCTAAGGCCCTTCTCCCTCGATCGCTCATTTTGGCCAGGCGGCCCGCACTAGGAAGATTCCTGGTAGCTCTAACCTTCTTTCATTTACGGATGATGGAGGCCACTGTGTTCACTGGGACCTTCAATGCTGCAGAAATGTTTCTGTACCGTTCCCCAGATCTGTGCTTTGATACAATCCTGTCTCAGAGGTCTACGTACAATTCCTTGGACTTCATGGCCTGGTTTGTGCTCTGATATGCACTGTTAACTGTGGGAACTTATATAGACAGGTTTATGCCTTTCCTAATCATGTCCAATCAACTGAATTTCCCTCAGATGGACTCCAATCAAGTTGTGGAAACATCTCAAGGATGATGAGTGGGAACAGGATACACCAGAGCTCAATTTTGAGTGTCATGGCAAAGGTTGTGCATACTTACGTACATGTGTTTTTTTTCCCTTTTTTTATTTTTAATAAATTGCAAAGATTTCAAAATGAACTTCTTTCACATTGCCGTTATGGGATATCATTTGTAGAATGTTGAGGAAAAAAATTAATTTCATTCATTTTGGAATAAGGCTCTAACATAACAAAATGTGGCAAACGTTAAGCGCTGTGAATGCTTTCTGGATGCTCTGTATGTGAGGAGATAAGCATGTGGCTGTGGCCAGGAGCGTCTTAAAGAGGAGGCTTCAGGGGAGCACTTGGACAGATGGAGGGAGAAATAAGGTAAGCATTGCATTTTGTTACTCTATCCCTAGACTTAACAAGCATTTAACACTTGCAGTGTGGGAAGAGGATTGAGGTTCCCACTGCAAGGTTTTTTGTGCTCCACTTTGGACTTTAATGTATTCATGTAATCACTCCCAGCATATTTGTCAAAATGCACATTCCCATATCAAATCCGCCACCATCAAAGGGGGTTAAACATACCAGAGTTAAGGGGAACCCCCCAGATCTGGAACAGAGCAGGTTTCAATGTTAGAACTCGTGCACTCATTGCTTCTAACCTTGATGCTGCGCATGTGTATGTGTCCCAAGTGTGTATTGCTTTCCTTACGGGCAATAAACAAAAAACTGGCAGGTAAACTCCTTATAAAACTAAGTACTATGTCAGCATCCATTATTGGGGTAAATTTACTAATTAAACATGTTCTTGAACTTCAAAAATCCAAACCAACACACGAGAAAATATTAGTTGTTTACAACAATAAAAGAAAACAAAGCAAAAGAAATTGCCAAACAATGGAAAATAAATGGAAACCGGCCTTTAAAAAATATGTTGTGAGGGGGAAGGCATCCACCTATTGGACATGACCAAAAAAAACGTTGTATTTGGAGTGATGCCTAGTACACTTGATGAGAAAATTGGACAAAAAAACACTTTCAAAGTAAATGTTCAATAATCTGATCATTTAGTAAAGTTTTCAAGATCAAGACAGTTCATACAAAATTATTAGAAGGAACAAGCATGAAAATGTTCCCCGTACAATAACAGAACAAACCGTTTTTGTTTCATCAGTACAGTATTTGTCCATAAAAAAATCAAGCGACCAAGGCCACTCATACTCAATAATGAAAGCATACATTACAATACAACACATTACATAATTTCTGAAGTTGTATTCTGTCTTATCAGAATTTTCTAAACTTTAGTAACCTATTTGTTTTCAATATGAGACTAGAATACAAATGACCGATACTCTCATCGTGTGTTCCAGGCTTAATTAGGAGTACATTTTAAATGTTTACTGTGGTAGAGGGAGATAAATAGTCCACTCACAAAATTAAACAGATGCTAATTTTACATGGATGAATGGATGTCATCTTGTGATCAAATTGTTACCTAAATTGTTCTTTAAGCATCGACAATTTGTAATAAATATACCTGCAAGTAAAAAAAAAAACCCCTACAAATAAATTTTTGAATGAAAGCATATACATGGATGATGCCACATACTTTTTAGGGTGGCATTTGTATTGGGTAAATCAAAGCTGACCTTTTAGACCAACCATAGTCTGTTTTGTTTTTTGCTTTTTTTTCCCCTGTAGGAGATTGGTGATGTGGAGAACTGGGCTCGAAGCATTGAAAAGGACATGAGGATAATTGCTACTGCTTTGGAGTATGTGTATAAAGGCCAGCTGCAGCCCTCTGCCTCCTGAACGTCCGCAGTGAATTCTGGGAATCCAGATATTAGAAGTTGACCTCCAGAGGTGTTTCTTGAATGCGAATAGCTCTGAAGTGTTGGCTGTTCCTTGATGAAAGTGAGGATTATAACACTTGTGTGCAGTGTACAGCAAATCATTATTTTGGCAGCCTGCTAACTAGGTTTCATGATGCCTCCTAAATACGGTACAGGGCACTGAAGCACAACTTGGCATTCTGGGTACATTTATGGAATTGACAGCTTAAAATGGACATCTGAGGACTAATCCAGATGTATTTTGCAGCATCTCATGAACATTAAAGTATCTTTCATACATTGCAATAAGATTTTTAATGCATTAACAAACATTGATAAGATTCTTTACATTAAGTTAATCTATTTCCCTTGTATATTTAAGAAAAGACTTTAAATGCTTTTGAAGCTTGAAAATAAAAACTATGCTAAGGCTTGTGTAACTATCCATGCTCTGAAAAAGGAATTTTAATTATTTTTTTTACTGGGTCCACATTGTACAAAATGTAGGTAAATTGAAGTCTCACATTTTAGGGTTCTTACAATGGGCTTCAGCTTGTGTAAGTGCTAGTGTGTACAGCCAGTTTTGCAAAGTAATTGGGAAACTGTTGACAAGCTTTTAGAGGCTTTGTTGAATCCTTAAACCCTTTTGCTTCTAGAGACGTTTTTTTTTTTTTTTTTTTTTTGTCTGAAAAAATGTTAGACCTTACGATTACGTAAAAACCTCCAAAATTATATATTTTCTGAAAGCAGGCACCCTAGATAAAATAGTGGTAGTTCTATTTTTTTAGTTTCACACAATGTTAGTGCAACAATTTACGAAATGCAAAATTTCAGTAAAAAATACACTAAAGTTAATTTTAGGGCACAAACACAATATATTACCCAATTTTTTTAAAATATAAAAAAATGGCATTGCACTGAATTAATAGATACCTGCCATGTCAAACCTTAAAATTGCATGCGCCCGTGAAACAGCGATAAACTATGGTACCTTTTTGTATTTTGCATAGGCAACACTTTTTGAAAGCGTCTACAGGTCATGCATTTTTTTTAACCTCCTTTTTTTTTTTTTTTTTTTTTTTCTTTCATCACATAGGGGATATAAATTCCCCCTATGTGATGCATGTTTGTGACTGTCAAGGATTTGTCAAGGATTACACTGTCACGTGTCCTCCACACGCCATGCCCACAGCGACTAGCTAACCGTGACGCATGCATGCGTCTGCGACAGGGTGGTACAGAGGGGGAATAAAGGGATTTACACTTGAATATCTCAAACCTTATATAAGATCAGCCGTGATGCCTTTTCACAGCCCACACTACCTCTGGCCACCACCGGATGGAGACTCCACTCCAATCCAGCTGGTCGACCACACACTGGCAGATACGATCTTACATACAACCTGGTGCCCTGATTAGAGTTGAGGACCAGCTTAGTAATCACAGACCCTTCTAAGGTCCCTCCAGCTAGCCTAGCTTGAACCCCGGTGTTGATAACCCTTCCACTGTCCACACACCAGACACACCACAAAAGGTAGCCTGCCACCACCCAACAGTTTAGCCGCAGAATGGTCTGTTGAGACACACCACACACACAGATCTCCGTCTGGCCCGATCTGTTACCTTTTACAATCTGCATGCAATCTGCCCACACACAGAACAATTGCATATAGATTGGCAATGAGCTTAACTGAGCGTTTTAAAGGCACTAAAATACAATACAATCTAATCTCCCCGATCTAGTCTCTCTGAAGATATAAGCACGTGCTTAAATACACAGAAGTTCACTAATTAATTTTAAGATTTAATTTCCCAAAGTGGGCAGTGCATAAAATATGTACAAAATAATAAAAAGTTACAGAAAATACAAAAGATAGAAGAAGACACACAAATGACTAATTACTATAAAATAAAAAGGGAATAAAAAGACAGAATAAACACTTTACCCTGCGGCTGGAGCAAGCCAGAAACTTAGCAATCCATTGGTCAATTGAACCAGCTCCGTACGGATCACAAATGTCCAAATGTCCGTGGGTACCCAATTTATTGGGATTAGGAGATGGGCGGGACATTAGTCCTTGGCCAACCGACCATGGGGAGGTGGTCCTGACCTGCCCACAAGAGGTACTGTGTATGGACCTGCCCAAGTTCAATTGGGCCAAGACTGGCCTAAACACCAAGTCGGGGATTGGATTTCTGACAGCAGCGCGTCAGCCCGATCGCAACAGTACCAAACACCATCAGACTGTCACGACCCTGCATCATCTAACCATTCCATGCATTTTCCTGGCTTCCTCTCCAAGGCACAAATATGATTTTCATATGCAAATGCAGCATACAGAATGGCCTACAAGAAGGAAGCCATGTTCATATCTCTGTAACTAATATTTCAGCTTTTATGAGAGATGGAACATCCTTCTTTGATGTATGATGTACTTATAGAGCTTTCCACATAAGGCAGACAGTCTGTCTGTTGTCCTTCCCTCCAAACCTGTTTTCCCAGAAAGTGATAACCTGATTGACACACAAAAGGTGTCACCTCCAGGAACCTGGCTTTTGACTAATTAACGCTAATTGATGCTAAATGATTGAGTCTGTAAGGCCTATGGAGTAATTGTGTATACATACACATCTGTATCACCAGATCAATTGATGACCCCCTTGTTTGTACCATCTATTCATTTCCCTACTGCCCAAGGGCTCAAATTTACATCCTTAATTTCCCAGACTGTTCCTGCACACACTTTTGCAATGAAAGGGCCTGGCCTAATTTAATCTACTCAACCTGTCATGGCTAGATTCCATACTTTCCACTCAAATCTTACATGTCCGTTACAATAAATTTTACATGTCCGTTACATCTCCCTCTTCCAGATGACAGCATAGCTGAGAGCCCTAAACGGGTCGGATTAACGACTCTACATGGAAGGTTTTCCTAGGTTGGGGGGGGGGGGGGGTTCTCCAACTAAAGCTTGACACCGCTGACAGCTCAGCCCCATCCCCTGCCGATGGGAGAGAGGGCTTCTGCCCAGCTTTCTGACTGATCCCAAAGGGTTTGGGTCACCACTGGCCAGCAGATCCCCCGCGGATCCATTTCATCTGCTGGCCCACCGACTATTGACTGGACCGGGCCAGGTTCATCTGTGGTTCGCCATTGGCTGCGACACCCGAGATGCCTGAGCCTGACATAAGGTTGTTCCTGGGTGATCTGGACCCTAGGTTCCATGGCTTGGATACCAGAACCTCCACCCTCTGACCTGTCTCCCACACTTCTGCTCTTTCTGCCTCAGCCAAGAGACTGGTCAGCACAACCCCTGAGTTCCTCCGGGGCTGACATCAAACCTATCAGCCTGCGAGAATACAGTGTTGTCAGCTACAAGCCTCTGAGAAAGCAGATTCAGAGGGGGTCAGTGTTCCCCCAATCATCCTGTGATCCTCCCTCTTGCTGTGCACAGCAATGAATCCTCAATCATGATACTCACAGCTGTGGGGGACAAAGGATAAATCCAACAAAGACTTTATTTCCAACCAGGGAGGTCATCCTCTGACCTGTGCCACGCCCTCTTCTACTCTGTTCCTCCTCAGCAGAACATCTGTCAGTACAATCCCTGAGCTCCTCCGGGTCCAAAACCTCCAAAACCTATCAGCCTGGAATGGACTCAGTGATGTCACGCTGCAGCTAGCTGAGGTGGGAATAGACAATGATTGGGCTAGATTCCCCCAACATCCTGCAGGACTTTCCTCTGAAACACATCAGAAAGGAGTCTGCAACTGGCAGCACCCGCGCCTGTGGTGACAGAGGGGAAAGTTACAGGAAGAAAGATGTCCACTAGCGGTTGTCCTCCTGATCCACCCACATCACACACTTACTCTCTGTCCTCTACCCAAGCGTCTGTCGGCACACATGAGTTCCTCTGGGCTGGCATCAGATGTAACAGCCGCTGGAAACTCCGTGCCGTCAGCCACAGCTTACTGAGGGGGTAGAGTTTTCCAGATTGGAGTCAGACTTAAACCCTCACCCTGCGGTCCCCCCAATCCTCTGTGCTCCACAGCCCAGGATCCAAAATGGCAATGACCTGGTATATGTGGGGAGGACAGGGAGCAGACAACAGAAGACCTTCATCCACACAGGGGATGAGCACACAACAACTGGTCTATACCAAGACTTACTGAAAACACAATGTGCCTTCTCCCCAGGAACTTCAGAAGAGAAAACACTCTGTTTCTTCATATATGGGTACACAAAACCAACTTCCTTTTGCCCATGCAACCCCATCCTGCTATCCACCGCTGGCAAAATCCTCAGCCAGACCCCCGAGATCCTCTGGGCTGCCATCAATCTCACCAGCTCCAGGGGATCACTCAGCGCTATCTGCCTACAGGTGCCAGGGGGACAACTAGTCTGAGGAGACCTTAGGCCCTCTGGGGCCAGGTTCACAAGGGTCCAACCAGCTAGGATTGGGCCCTGCCACAGACAGTTCCTCTGTAGCAGTGGGCAATGAATGGTCCGGGGCCACCTGGCGGGCACCCCGAGTCACCACTGCAGCAGAGGGAAGTTCTGCCTTGCACATGTCATTACATTTATCTGTCACATAAAACATTATCCATTTGCAGAGTCCTCTGTGATTTTGTAAACTCTTCTCCAGGCCCTTGACTCCAGACAGCCACTAGAGCCAGCCCTGGTACACAGTCATTCACCCCCTGACCCTCCCCAGAATTCCCAGTGTGCAGTGAGTCGATCTCAACAGTACATTACGTGAATCTGAGGCCTCGGGTGGAAATGTAGACTTCCGGGGTGTTGACTTAGGACTTGTTCTGGGTTACCAAACTGCCCCAGGTCAGTACCTGACAGTATGTTCGTGGTAGCTTCTATGCCCACTTCTCCTCACTTTGCTTCTGGATCTTTGGGGCAAAGCAACAACAAGCTGCAGGTTAGTACAGGGGTGACTCCTCCAACCCCTATGATAACTGTAGCTTTCT